GATGTAGAAGTGCCTTTCACTGCCACCCATGTTTTTCTGAACACTCTCTGCGTTGGTTGGGACCCCTGGCCTCTGTGGATGATCACAAAGGTGTGGTCAAGCCGCCCATCTTTGCAGGGTTAGGTGGCAGTTGTACTGCTCTCTGGAGGACCCACGTTTGTGAGGGCACCCACCATTTGGAACATTGCTGGTCTTGAAGCTGTTTGAAATGCAGCAAATGCTGTGTTGCCTTTGACAAAGGTTTCTGCTCGAAGGGACTCTGGGCAAATGTAAGGTGGAGGGCACTTGTCCCAGCACAGCTGCTGGGGAAGCTGTGAAAGGAGGGATGAAAAGGGACCAGCGCTCCACAGGGAAAGTGACTGTGCTTCCTAAAACAAAAGTTGAGTACAACAGACTCTCTTTATTTTTTAAAAATTTCAGAGTTTATGGAGCATTTTACAATCACATAAAAACATGCAAATAAAGTTGCCCATCTTAGCTCAGAGCATTCATCAAGTGTCTTCCCTGTTCCAAGCCAGGGCATGTGAAAGGGGATAAGAAATGCAGAGCCAGAGGGGCACGCCCTGCCACCTTCTGGGGCGCAGTCTGCCTACCTGTGTGTCCCCAGACCTTGCTGGGGAGGCCAGCCAGGGCCCCCGTGGAGTGGGGCAGGCAGGCCAGTGGAGCTGCTGAGGCAGCGATCACCAGCATGGAGAGAAGGCAGTGTGGAGGATTGAGAGGCAGATGACCTTCCTTCAGGTGAAGCAGCACAGAACAGAAGGCCAGGTGTTCGGTGCAGTGGTGACTAAGGTTGCACATGGAGACGGAGGGCCACTGGCATTTTACCCAGAAGGCACTGGGGAGCCACCACTGGCATTTTACCCAGAAGGCACTGGGGAGTCACCACTGGCATTTTACCCAGAAGGCACTGGGGAGCCACCGCAAGCTTCCATCTGGTTTCTGCTCTGGTCTGATTCAGGCTTGCGTTTTACAACTTTCCTAATTGTGATTGGGAAAATAGAAGAGGTGCAAACATAAAGGCCCAGTTCGGTTACCTTGGCCTCCCATGACTTTTCCATAATACAGTAATTGTTGAAATAATTGCGAACCACACAAGAGCACAAGGTGAAGGTGCTGGTGGGGAAGTTCAGCAGAGAGCTGGGAGCTCTCGTGGCCACGGGCATCTGCACAACATGGTGGCCATTCTGCAGACAGATCCAGCACACCAAAGGTACCTGATGTCAGTGCAGTTTTGGAAAGGCCAAGTCCACAAGAAGCAGCAGAGCTCCCCGTGACGCCGTGCAGTCAGGGAAAACAAGGGCAGTTCTGGCTCAGATTTGGGAACGGAAGGGGGGCCGCCCTGGAACAGCAAGTCTGAAAACAAGAGGTCTGTGGCAAGTTTACGGAAACACAGATTATGAAGAAAAGAAACTCCTTGAGGTCCTCTCATTTATGAAATCTGAACTTGAGTTTTTAGTCTTGCATCACTGTTAACTTCTCTGGTTGTGAAAAATGTTAAAAGGGATTAGTTGAAAAAAAATATGAGCGGTTACTGCCACTTCCCTGCAAAACTGCCTGCATGGTGGCACAGCAGCCTAATTCTCTGCCTGGGGTGCTGGCATCCCATACGGGAGCCAGTTTGTGTCCCAGCCACTCCACTTCTGATCCCTCTGCTATGACTTGGGAAACAATAGAGGATGCCCTAAGTCCTTGGGCCCTACACCCACGAGGTAGACCTTGAGGATTCTCGGACCTTTGGATTGGCCATTTGAGGAGTGAACCAGCAGGTGGAAGATCTCTCTGTCTCTCCTTTTCTTTGTAACTCTGACTTTTAACTAAAAATTTTAAAATCTTTTAAAAAGGAATATAAGCAATCAGTAGTCTCTTTACTTTTCATTTAAAATTGATCTCCTCCAAAAGTTTGTAAAGGCATATGCACATCTACTTATAAGTGATTTGAAAAAAAAACATTGTAAAACAACAAATGTATGATGATCGTGTTCATGTAAAACCACACAGAATTGCTGTGTGTTCTGTGACATGTCCGTGCAAAAATTCATGAAGTAATGCCTTTAAAAGACACGCACTCCCGGCCTCCCTGGCCCCTAGCAGCAGAGAAAAGAATGAAAGACAGCATTCAGCAGCAGAGGGAGTTCCAGCAGGACGCAGGCTTGGTGCACGAGGCATTGTGCTTTGTGAGAAATGGACAATAATAAGCACCCTGAGCTGCTCCCCTCAAGCATCCCACACCTGCTCCAAGCCCCCGCACTTCCTGCCGGTCCCTGGAGGCAGGAGTCTGTGGTCCCCAGGGTGCTTTATACCGCCCACAGCCAGCCAGGAAATCTCTTTATCCAGGTTTTGCAGCAAGATTCTTGGGTGCTATTTACATGCCCTCCAGGGTGTTGGCACCTGGGGTCCAAGTCCCTTGTTGTCATTTGTTAGGGTTTTTTTTCCTTCCATTTCAACTCAGAGAACAAGAACAAGAAAAGCTGCACTGTGAAAAGAAGTCTTGCATTATTAACAGTGATAGGAGAATCAGGCGTGCCACGTGGTGTGACCTGTGGTGACAGCTGCGGGAGCAGGGACCACTGGCAGCAGGGTCCCACTTGGGGGGAAGTTGGTGGTTGGGAGCAGAGAGCAACAGTATGTGGCATCTCCTGAAACTAGTAGAAAAGAGAAAGAAAAGGTGAGTTTGTTTTGGTGCAAAATACTTTGAGGAATCCATGAATCATTTTTCCAGGTTGTTCGTTTTCCGTGGATTTGAAGACCCTCACAAACCTGATAGGAACAAGGAAGGGCCCACTTTGCTCAGCTGTCCTTTTCCGTACAGAAAGTTTGTTTCTAAAGATTATTTTTGAAAACAACATCTGTGTTCTTAGAGAGCCGGAAGGATGGATAGATGGACGGGTGGATTCGCAGGTAGTAGTGACATGCGTATTTTGGTTAAGGTGATTTTTGAGCCTAGAGGCATCAGTGTGACCCACTAGCGACAATGGCATGATTGTATTGCGATCACTACAACAATTGCGGCTGTTAGCTTTGATGCATCGATCCCTTGCTATTTGCCAGGAACTGTTATTTGTGCACTGTTCTCACCAAACCTCCAACAGCCTGGAAATAAGCAGCGTCACCCCATTATAAGAAATGAGGATATCGACACCCAAGGAAATGTGGTTTTGGTCATACAGATGGTAGTGGGCATGGCTATACTTGTAGCACCTGCTTTTATTTGCGCAACAGACACAGGCATCCGTGCCTGTTGCTGTGCTGGGCACCAGGATCCACTCTCAGCTCAATAAGCTGTGGAGTTTCGCCATTGTGGGACTTCCAGGAGTGGGGAGTAGGTCAGAAGAAGCATGAGAGTTGGTTAAATCAAACCAAGCTGTGATTACAAATAATTTTCATCAGAAGGTATCACAACCTAGCCTTTAATGAGCCTATTTTCCATTAATTTTAAAAATGCAAACAGAAGTAATTGGTGTTTAATCAAAACTTTCAGTGTATTTTTTTAAGTGTTTAAATCGGAAAGAGGGATTGGGGGGAAGCTGTGTTGCCCTACACAGCAGTAGGGTTTCTGCCAGGTGAAGTCATGAACTTATGCTGCCTTAGGCACCACTGCCACCTGGGGGCCAGCATCAGAATTGCAGGCTTGGTGACTGGGTGGGACCTCTGGGGGATGCCAACCGTGTGTAGGCAGGAGCCTGCCCAGGGTGTCTGATGTGTTTGTGACCTCCTCTTTGTGTGGTTGCAACCACATTAGCATTTGCTGGAATTGGTGAAGAAGCAACACTGTGTGTGGGCAGATGCTTGGGTACATGCTAGATCCAGCTTATGCAAATAATTCTCAGGAGCTAGTTCAATGGCCGACAGGTTAATCGTTCACCTTCAAATCTCAGCATCCCATACGGGCACTGGTTCATGTCCCAGCTGCTCCACTCCCCATCCAGTTCCCTACCTGTGGCCTGGGAAAGCAGCAGCAGCGATGGCTCAAGTCCTTGGCACTCTGCATCTACCTGGGAGACCAGAAAGAGCCTCCTGGCTCATGGCTTCAGATCAGTTCAGCTCTGGCAATTGTAGCCATTTGGGGAGTGAACCAATAGATGGAAGATCTTTGTTTCTGTCTCTCCTTCTCTTGGTAAATTCCAATAAAAATAAATGTTTTATTTTAAAAAGCTAAATTAAAAAAAAAAGCAGTTTTAAAAAAGCAAATAATAATTATCCAGATATACAACTTCAGATGGCATGGAAACTCCATGACTGGGCCCCTGTCAGCCTCAAGCACCTGACTCACCATTTCTGGAATTTTCCAAGCTTTTCTTCACCTGACTACTGCCTACTCTGTGCTATTTCCTCTGCCTGGTGTCCCAGCCACCACCCCCCCCCCCCCACCACCTTCACCTGCTGTGTCTGTTCTTCAAGGTAAAATCAGGATTAACGTCTGTTGGGAAAATTTCCTTGGAGCGGTGTAGAACACCCTGACAAGTGTCCAGCAATGGTGTCTCTAGAGAAGATGAAAATGAAGCTTGTTTTAGATTTGAAGGAGCTGTGGCCGGTTTCCACTCTGAGTCTCACAGTCGCATCCATTGGCTAGGATTAATGAAGTCCCCCTGCCCTCAGGATCATCAAGGTTTAAAGGAAACACGTCACGTGTGTCCCAGGGCCTGCCCAGTACTTGATCACTGCCTTCTCAGGGTACAACTGTCCAGTAAATACTTTTCATTGCCTGCCTAGTTTTGCATAAATAAATAAGTAAATAATTCTCTTCCCTGGAGTTAAATAAAAAGGTGAAGTGAATGACCAAACTTGAAATTCCTGCCCTCCTTATCCATCACACGCCACACGAGTGTGAGTGTTGGTGGCAGTCTGCACATTCAAGTGAAGGGTGCCAAGCCAGGATGGCGTCCTTGGCACCCGTTGCTGGCACATGTGGTGAGACATGGAGCTGTCTTTGAAGCATGGGCCCTCTTGTTTTTCCAGACACTCTTAAATGTTTCTTAACTCTTAAATGCTTCTCTCACCAGGTGGTCGACAGTGACAGACCCGAAGGGTCCAAGTTCCGGCTCACTGGAAAGGGAGTGGATCAGGAGCCTAAAGGGATTTTCAGAATCAATGAGAACACGGGCAGCGTCTCCGTGACACGGACCTTGGACAGAGAAGCCATCGCTACTTACCAAGTGAGTGCCCATCGCGAGTCCACTCTGGCTTCCCTCTGAGCTCGGGGCCTCCAGGCCCCTCACATCCAGGCTGTGTGGTTACCAGCAGGGCAATGGGGAGGAAGGGACACAGGTGTTCCCCCAGGCTTGAATCATATTTTAATGCTGGAGTCCAAGGAAGCCGGTCCTGGGGCATCTCATAGAGGGCTTGCCTCTCCAGGGACTGGGCCCAAGGAGGTGGTGGAGGAAAGCCTATTGATCCAGAGCAAATGGGGAGGAATTTTCTGAAGTTTTTTTCAGTGATGCCATGGCTGGACCTGCTCCTTAAAGCGACATAATCACTGAGTGTTCAGCCCTGTGCCAGTGGTTCAATTATGGCGCATTTTGCAAAGCGGTTTTCCACAGCGTTCTCAAACACTTTTGAAGAAGTGGCAGTTAGAGGGAAAGACTGGATATAGCGAGTGGAAGCAGAACACACACGCACACTTTGCTCGTTGTTGTGCCAAGTGTTTGTCTGCGGCGTGATGGGCAGATCCTAAGAAGCATCAGAGAAGAAAAAGTGGTGTTGCTGGTCACGATTGAGTAATCTCGGTTGTCTGTGGTTTTCTTACCCACCCAACTAGTTTGCTATGAGTTTCCAGGGAGGAGAAGGGAGGGAACAGACACCAGAGGTCCATGGTGCTGCACAGAAGTGAGGTGGCCACGGACAGCAGCAGGTGCAGGGCCTAGGAGGATGAGGCTTTGTTCCCAAATGCTCTGTCTGAGGCCTCACCAGAGGCCTGTCTGTTAGCACTAAAGGCTGAGCCTCATGGCTTCTGCTTCTTCTCATGGGCTCTGGTCGTTGGAGAAACTGTTCAAATGTTGGAGAAGTTGGTACCTTCAGAAGTATCCAGTTCTGTCTGGACTAGAAGGTTAGCAGAGGTGACCTGGCAGCTCCCAGGGTCCCAGTACCAGGCTGTGCATGTATGGCCTATTCTTTTTGCAAGCCTGCGAGGGGCATGCCCCTGAGGCATCAGACATGAGGAACTTGGGCTGCCATGAATGCCATGTGGTAGCATGGGGACTGAGAGCGCATGTCAAAACTGCCATGCGCATGTCAGCACAGCTGCTTCCTGAGCTGTGTGACCTGGGGCAGCCCGCTCACCTCCCTGGTGTGGTGACCGTTACCCACAAAGCGCCTCAGGATGGGAAGAGGCAAAACTGCCTTGGGCATATGCTTGGCACAGTGCCCGGCACTCAGCAGGTGAGCACTGAATCTTGAGCTCCTCCTCTTGTTTTTTTCCTGAATGCTTTTGAATTTTGTATTAAAGTTCTGACATCAGGTTCCTAGTTCTCATCCTGAGGAGGTTGACATTGTTTACCCTTTTGTTGTGATGTTAGAAATCATGGCATTGTCTGAAGTATCAGAGATTTCTGGATGGATCTTGCTCAGGAACTCCCTGGGGGCGATGAAAGTGACCCAAGATAAAGAACTGAGGACAGGAGATCTTGGGGGAGAGGGTTCCTGTTCCCTGAGATAGGACTATCCTAAATCCAGGGAAGCAGAGAACTCATTGGCTGGGAGTGCCGCGTGAGTGGAGGAAGATGTGGAGAGAGGTGAGAGCTGTCTTCTGGAGGGCTGAGGGTGACCCCACAGCGTTGGGATGTGCCTGCGGAGAGCTGGATCTGTGTGGCTTGCGTGGGTCCCAGAAGCTCCAAACAAATTGTACACCTACAGCGGAGACCTTCCATGTTCACATAAAGACTCCAGGCCGCAATAGCCCAGGCCTGCCTCTGGACCTTGACCTCCAGGTGCAGTGAGAAAGCCCCCTAAAGTCAGAGAGGTCTGGGGACGGTGAGAGCAGCAGGACAGAGAATTCCCACGACTGCCTCCCGGCTGATGAGAGATGACCAGTGGTCACCCGGGGCACATTGCCCGAAAAGCTAGGCTGGGGCTCCTGAAGGATAATTTCCACCACATATGGCTCTGTTTGCCCCCAGATGGTCACAGAGCTGAATGCAGAGCTGTGGCTGGTGATTGTGTGGGGCCTGGGGACCCAGGAGGCATGGCCAAAGAGTGGGAGAAGCGGGTCAGGTGGTCAGGCACGGCTGGCTCTGGAGCAGATACAGTGCAGCACAGGACAGTGTCTGCTAGACATGGCTGCCTCTGCTCGTGTTCACTGAGGCACTGTGTTCCAACAAACTGCCATGCAAGACAGCATGGCTGCCTCCACAGCTGTGTGAGCTTGGACAAGTTGTTGGCCCTCTCTGGTCTTGTGATTCTCATTCATGAGGTTGGAACAGTGTTGCCACTCATCAGAACTGCAAAAGAGGGAACCAAGGGCTAGTGCTGACAAGCTGGTCAACTAGAGCTTGGTGTGGGAGCAGCTGAGGGCTTATTCTCAGCTGTATTGTAGTAGTGAGAACGTGGATTCTATGTGCAGCCAAACTGGTTGAACTGAGCCGTAGTTCTCATGAACTTGGTTGACTGTCAACTTCCTAATCTAGGAAGTGGCAGCGATGGCAGTCCCAGTGATCCATAGAATTGCATGAGGACCAGAGAGGTTAATTCACGTCAGTGTTTGAACAGTGCCAGGAGTGTGGTAAGCACTCGTACAATCTTACCATGTGAGTGGGAGAGTAATGATGTCAGAGGCAACGGACGGTGATGGAACACAGCAAGGGGGCAGCCCACCCTGCCCATTTCTGACATTAGCTTTCCTTGAATAATCAGGGATTTTTATTATCATTTCATAATCTATTTCATAATATAGTGGTCAGTTGATCAGTTCAATTTGCACATCTCTAAAAGTTCACAGGAAATTGAGTTTAAATATGTAATTATTTTGAGGCAAAAACAAATTTGGAGCCCATGCATAGTAGTTTTTTCACAATGCGTATTTTTCTATGAGCTTTTCAAAGACTCCTCTCCTGTTTGGATGCCTTTAGGGGATGAGGGAATGGAACAAAGAAGTGAAACCCCTGGATCTCCCACTTCCAGCTGGAATGAGAGCCAGGTCCCTCAGTATTGATCGGCTTCAGGCACAGGCCTGGTGCAAGTCTTCCCTGTCTCAGGTGCCTATTAGAAATTATCTTCTGGCTCAGTAGCACAGGTAGAGCCAACATGGTTGGTAGCATGCCTGCTTCTTCAAAGAGCAGAATCTAGTCCCCGGAGCCCTAAGTTTAATTTCCATCCTTGCAAGGCTAAGAAGCAGAGAGCAGCAGGTGGGGGCAGGCATTGGCACTGTAATTGCTCCAGCCTTGTTGCTTCTTTAGAAGTCAAATGCTACTCGAGTGCACATGCATACTATTGTGTTAACATTTGCCAAATCCGACAGGAAAATATTTTGATCTAAGCCTCTGGGATTTGTTTGATAAGAAATAATCTGGGATGCGTTCATCTTTGGGTCCTGGAGTGAGGATTGTCATTGCAGCCACTGTTGATTGAACATTGCATGGTGGATATTGTGCTAAACATGCATAGCCATTCTCTTATTTAATCCATTTCACACAAGGGACTAAGTAAGTAGGTGTTAACACCGTTTGGCAGATAAGCAAATAACTGTTAAATGACTCTGTCAAGGCCTTCTTGTGGCTTTAGGATCTGTATCGCTTCTCTGCAGCTGCAAAGCACCACATTTTCAGTCCTTCAAACACTTCTTCCTGTTCTCTGGGCACCTAGACCCCACTATCGGATCCACAGATTCCTCAGCTGCTTTGCTGTGAGCTCTGTTGATTGGTGCTGGGAAGGGACTCTGACAGCTGGGTGATCTGTTGCTTCTTAAATGCCGTTTTGTTCCTGAACCTCCGTTACCTTGCTGCTGCTCCCTGCCCCAGTTCCCAAAAAGGTTTCCCATGCTTCTGACCCACAGTAGGACCTGGCAAAATAATTTAGCTCTGTCAGTATTGGAAGCTGACATATTAATGCAAAGCCTTCTGAAATATTACTCATTATTATGCATTTTGCCAGCATTTGAGTGATTTGTGAACTCTTCATTGGAATAAAGTACTGTAAATGATTCATGAATGGCCAAGTTTATGAAATTCTATAAAAATATTAGCAGGTGGTAATGATTCCCTCACACTGTGAATATAATCGGCCCACTGCAAATTTGTCAATATGGAAGCATATGAGTGGAGTGGGAGATGGAGTCTTTTAAGCAGGTGGTGGGGTCAGATGGAGGGTTTAAGTTGGGCTCTGCAGGTCGTGTGAGGCAAAACAGGAAGCAGGACCCTGGTAGTGGACAGGTGGCATCGGTAGGCCTTATAGCAGGTCACTAGACCGCATGACGTGCTGGAAGACACACAGGTAACTGGTGATACAGGAACTAATGGGAGAAGAGAGGAACTCTTGGAAGGAGAACAAGCATTAAGCATCCAAGAATGCCTTAGGCCCCTGGAATACACAAAAACCTTTAAAAAAAAGTTCTTTTTTAATCTTACATTGGTTCATGGATTAGTTGGGATCTAAATGGTTCCTAAGATGTATTACCATTGTTGGCGCCAACCTTTCTGGAGTGTTTACAATATTACCACGGCTTGGTGCTGAATACTTCAATGATGATCTCAACCAACTCCATAATGATGAACCTGAGATGCCGTCACACTCAGTTATAGAACAGACATGCAGAACCACCTGCACTCCCAGCCCCCGAGCGTGGTTGGGATCCCACCAGCTCTTTGGGAATATTTGCTAACATTTTCTGCTTTGGGCGCTTGCCCTGCTTCAAGCCAGATTCTTGGCCAGGCTTTGGCTTTGCAGTTAAGAGTGTTGCCTGAAAATCAGCACACACCTGGCAGTCAGGAGGCATCATTGCTTATAACTTTCCTTTGTTTCCTTTTGTTTGTGTGGCTCTGCCCCAATTCTGTCCTGTGGTTTCCAAGACAATTTGGCAAAAAATATATTAAGTTGAAAAATGTGACTGTCACATGCAAATAGGAGTATCATAATGTTAGTGATCATAAACCAATTGGGAGATGTAGATTGACTCAGATTAGAGGATTATTTAGGTGATTACCCTGCTTATAATAATGTCCATGTT